TCGGACAGATGATCACTGCTTTTTTCTCCCCGTTGGTCACATAACTCCTCCTCCACCGCGCGGTGCCTGCGCCATCTTTGTCATTATTTGCCACCGTCGGGTCGCAACAGCCTATGGCGACAGCGGGCCACTGTGACCACAAATCCCATAATGCTTTTTGAGGAGAGCTCTTTGCACAAATCATTCCAGGATATATTTGCCTCTGCTGTTGCCTTTCTTTTCTTATCATACACTTTTTAGACATGTTTTCTCTTACGACTCTCGGACATTTTCTAAAAACCGCGGGGAGAGAGGTGAGCTTCAATGACTGTCTGAAACCGAAACCATAGATATACGCCTGAAAGTGTGCATAGCCTTATGTAAACCTAGCACCAAAATGATTCACCAAGTATTTTAACGATCCAACCGAAAATAAAGGATCAGCCTCTATACCTTTAAATCTAAAAAGAGCCATTTTATCAGTGAGTCAGACAATTGTTTGTGAACTTGTGTTTGAAACTGGGCTTTCATTTGAAGTCATTTGCAATCTTTTAATAAAAAATTAATAAAAACCTTTTTTAATCTAATGCCTGATTACAACTATTTAATGACCTTGTTCTTAAGAGCATCTGTCGTATGGGCTAAATTGTGAATCACAGTTTTTATAAGATTCAGTCTTTTTTCATTTCGTTTTAATGAAAGACACATTCAGTATATTTCAGCTGTGTCATTATGAAACAAATAACCTCAAAGCACCCTAAGAATCTTAGATTAGGTATTGTTATGCTCACTGTGAATTTTATTACCTCAGAATGTACCCAGGTGATAGGGGGTAATTTTGGAAACAGTAATGCCTACTACTATCTGAATGCATGAAATAAATAATAATTTAACACCCAAGTATTATTGCCAGTAAAGAAAAATTATAGGAAGTATGTGGCATTTCAAACTCACCTCTTATAAAAGCCTTGTGTCGTTTAATGGAGCTCACCTTCCTTTTGGCTTGGGATGAAATTAATCCCCACTGGTTTTTAAAATGGAGGACTAATTGCCCTTAATTATTTCAGGCAAATTCATTAGCAAGCACTGGGTTATTTAAAGTGTCTGAGGAGCTGAGATGAGGAAAACCTGCTCACTAAACTTTAGTGAATAACATAGGGGTTCCAAGATTTAAGTAGAACCAATATGCATTGGACATCTTCAATAATGCAGGGGTCTCAACTTATTTCTGTATCACAAAAATTTAGCATTATAAACTCTCTAAAATATAAAATGCTGTGGAGGGACAAACTCGGCTCACAGAACTTTAGTTTCCATCTTTTGGCTGAACCTGAAGTGTAATCAAATCATTCAACATGCATTCTGATGGTATTTATTAATCAGCGATCTGCTTAGAAGTGCAGTTTTGCTGTATTTAACTGAATAATAAAACCTTTTAATCGGAGCATTATAATGTGAAACATAGAGTATCCGAGGACCTAGTTTGCTATAAAGTTACTAGACTTTGATAATACAGCATGAATTTTAAAGCTGAAGCCAAAATTCTACTAACAGCTGGCAGAGTTATATTTAAAATGATTTTTATTCATGATTTTCATTTTTTTATGATAGAAAATTAGAGAGGTCCTCCAAACAATAGTTCAGAAGTAATAATTCAAACTACTGTATGTAGCTATCTCTCTTTTTTGTTCATAGCTTGGTAAAAAAAAAAAAAGAAGCAGTTATAAAAAGCAGACTCAACATTATGTGAATTTTGGTGAAATCAAACCCTTATAGTCGCTGACCAAGACTTTACAAAGCTTTAAGGATTCGGAGGCGTCAATGCCATTTCCATAATCTTTAGGTCTCTCCTTAGATTTATTTTATTTTTTTGAATCAGATTTTACTCTACAGCTATGCTAATGATACGCAGCCTCTGTTTTGATATTTAGTCAAAGAAGTGTTGCTCTTGTAACTGTATTTGAGTTGTCACCTGTCATGTTAGTTGCAACTTGACATCTGTCACAATGTTGTTGCTATAAGTCGTGAGGGGATCTTTCCTGTCTTTTTGTGCACTTTAGATTTAGCCTGAATAATTAACAAAGCACCTAAGGACAGAGTTTTGAAATAAAAGATTTATTTCATTTTGTCTACTAATGGTGAAAAACTTCTTAAATTGAAATAGATTTTATATTAGAAATATTAAAAGGTTTGCAAATAGGAGACTTTCACCAATCCACTGGTGTCCTCTTGCATCCAATCCCTTTAGTTTTAAACTAATTTTAACCATTCATTACTAACTAATTTTCCTTACAGATAACATGATGCTCCCCTGTTTGAAACATTACAAAATTAAATCTATGTAATTATTTTGTATCTGAGAGGCACTGGAAGACCTCTTATACATTTGGCAACATCATACGTAATTGACCTTAGCTTTAATTGCTGAATACCTTTTCAACATTTTAAGATGTTTGCTCGAGGCTAAAGAGGTGTAATTCACCTCATCTCTAGTTCTCACCTTGTGCATCTTTTGCTTTTAATGGCTAAAATATCAAGGTTATTTTAGCAGATAATAATTCTCAAGGTTCTGTTTATATATGTATGCCAAGGATAAGATTCTGCAATAATGATTCTCCACTAAAGCTGTCTTCTTTGCCAAGCAATAAGAAAAAGTAATAATTTTCCATTTGCTCTGAAAGGTTCCTACTTCCTGGTTAATTAGGGTTGAAACCCATAGCTAGCTAAAGTTTATCTCCATGATTTCAGAAAACCTTGCAGCTCCTTGCAGGTGAGTCATAGCACGGATGTTGCTAACTGGTTTGTAGTCACACAAAAAAAAAGTTCACACAATAGTTTTTTGAAGTAACTTCAGGTTCGACTCTGGGCTTCAACATCTAAGACAACCAACAATTTATTGATACCCCTTAATAATAACATTAAAAGGTTTATAGAATAAATCATTTATCACAATGTCAAACTGTAACACTAACAGGGATGAGAAAAACAAGGCATACTTATTTAGTGGGAAAACTAATTCCACATTGAAATAAAACTGTGTAGTAAAACTTCACTAATTATGGCAATAATGCATTTCTACACAAATTGGAGTGAAACAGTAAAGTTATTGTTATATAGTCTACAATTTAAAGATCAATTCATGCTGTTTAAGTAAAGAGAGGGCTAGAAGGACAAAGTAATTTACCTAAATGTGCCCATATATGTTGTCACAGCAATATTTTTATAGGTTAAAAAAATGGAATGGTCTTTAAGTATGTTTCCCTCATAAGGAGGATATAGGCTCTAAAACTCTATGCTAGAAGACTAACAAAAGTAACTGAGGCAGGTTCTTAATTAGATATATGCATTTGATTTAGGTAAAAACCAAAAATGCCATACTATTCCTTAAGTGCTGCAACAGTCTTTGCAATGTTTATCAGTTTTTTCTCTAGAATTGCCCTTTATGTAGCATCACCGTCCCTACAAAAGGAAAGCTTTCCTTACAAGCATGGCTTTCCTCCTGACAGTATTTGAAGGGCCAACAGATCCATCATGCTTCCATTTTCAGATGATACACTAAGCAGTGCGCTGTGCGAATTTATTGCTTTCATATGGTCCTATGACCTCCTCCTGTATACAATGTCGTAAGTAGTGTGTTCCTGTATTTCAGTTTCAAATAGAATCCATTATAAAAGTATTCACAGTGCCAAACTTTTCCCCTATTAACTATATTGCTGCTGTAGTAAGATATGCCACCTATACAAAATTAAGCTGAGGTGCATACTGTTTCCTTTTATAGTCTTTTAGGTGTTTCTACAGATTAAATAATCTGACTGTATCAATTTGGACACGAGGTTTGACATTATTAGGAAAGAGAATCTGTTATAAACTGAGTGATGAAGGGAGAGGGCCTTAGTCAGAACTCCATGGTCACTTTGTCAGAGCCTCCAGATGACAACAGTAATATACCGATCTATCCTGTATGGTAGAAGGGTCCGAAGAAAGCCTTTCCTTAATAAAAGGCCCGAGGCAGCCTGTCCTGAGTTTACCAAAAGGCACCTGAAGGACTCTAAGATCATGAGAAACAAAGTTTCAAAAAATCATTAAGCAAAGGCTGTGAATATCCATGTAATCTGTTTTTATAGTTTCAGGCTGGAACATAACTAAATATGAAAAAAGAGCAGCGCTGTGAATACTTTCCAGATGGGTATTATGCCGCTTGCTTTATAGAGATTCTGATATAAGACAATAAAACTGCTACTACAATCTATAACTAAGTTTACACACAAGTGGACTCTATTGATTAATTGGATGACTTGATAACAGGTGGTATCACTGGATTTATCTCCATCCATCCATCCATCCATCCATCCATCCATCCATCCATCCATCTTCCTCCGCTTATCCGGGGTCGGGTCGCGGGGGCAGCAGCTTAAGAAGGGAGGCCCAGACTTCCCTCTCCCCAGCCACTTCTTCCAGCTCTTCAGGAGGAACCCCAAGGCGTTACCCGGCCAGCCGAGAAACATAGTCTCTCCAGCGTGTCCAGGGTCTTTCCCGGGGCCTCCCCCTGGTGGGACGTGACCGGAACACCTCACCAGGGAGGCGTCCAGGAGGCATCCTAACCAGATGCCCAAGCCACCTCAACTGGATTTTATCTAACAGAATTTATTTAAAAAGGGCTAAAAAGATAAATACACCCCTCCATTTTTTAAATGAAAATATCAATAGAACAGGCATTTTCTTTTTATTTCACAATATCTCATTGTGTTTTGGTCTACATATAAAATTCCTCTCAAATAGAATGGAGCTTGTGAAGGTTAAATTACAAAATGTAAAAAAAAAATTTCAACTGGAATAAACAAATTTGAGAGCACTTCATCTACTTGCTGGGGTGCTTGTCTGCAGCATTGATGATTCAAATTTGTATATTTGCTTAACTCAATTAATAAAAAACTTTTTCTTCCTTCTTGCTATGCCTGACACTGTCTTTTTAAAAAAAATAATAGTAAATGTGACCCATTTTTCTGTGGTCGTTTGAACAGGTGGGGAAGGTCCGGAAGACTGCAGCAAGAAAGAGAGAGTACCACATACTGTTTATGGTTCTGACCACAGCAGCCTGCTACCTGCTGTGCTGGATGCCGTACGGTGTCGTGGCCATGATGGCGACATTTGGCCCCCCTAACATCATAAGTCCTGTCGCCAGCGTGGTCCCTTCACTTCTGGCCAAGAGCAGCACTGTCATCAACCCCCTAATCTACATCCTGATGAATAAACAAGTAAGAAATACACATTTGTTTTTTAGAATTTAAAAATTGTTTAAATGAAATTCAATTCTTTGTATGTTTGTTTTAACAATTTTATTCACATGGTAAAAAAGGACATAACAGCTCAAATCATACAAATCCTCCATTTAAATATCATTCAAGTGTAAGAAGAAGAAAACTCACTAAAAAAAAAAAAAAAAATCAAGCTCATCCTAAGGCTGCTGGAAGTGAAAAAGGACCTCCTACCACACCGTGCTGCAAGTAGCTGCAGACGGGAAATCTAAAATAAATTCTAATCATGAGCAATTAAGTGTGGTCCTGAATCGGTCCTTAGCTAATCAAAATAAAATGTGAAAAGTAGACCTTGAGAGAAAAAAGCAGAGGAATATCTTTATAAAAGGGTCCAAATGATATTCTCTCTCAACTGACCATGAGTTGATGCCAATTTTTCCATTCAGTTTCCAGTATTTAACACTGCCGGGGAAAAAAGTTCCCTTAAGTGGCGAAGAAAAAATAAAATAAAGAGAAACATTGGTTCCCAAAAAGTCCTGCCTTTACTCATTCCACTTTTTATCCATCTGGCACACAATTTAATGTGAATTTGGCACAATATTAGAATACATGACTAAGATTGCTAGAAGACAAAAGGGAACAGCTGAATGCTACACCAAAAACTCAAATGGTCCAACAAGCATGCGTTTAAAGAAAATCATAAAATAAAGCTAAGAAAAAAACCTTAAATCACAGTAAACTACAAGTATGTCAATGATCTGAAGGACAAACACAGCAACCACAGTTTAAGACTCAGCCCTAATCCTGACTTCTGCATGCTCTGTGTGACCAAAAGTACAAATGTACAATACATGTAGGACTTTTAGCACGTTCATTGTGCTACAGTTACAATCGCAGCCATTTTAACACCCCTGCGGCAAAGCTGAAAACCTGCAGCCTGCAAAAACCTTTTCATATATCATTTTCTTTAATCTCGTTACTGGGGTTCTTTAACCTGACTGGGGCTGGGTATATTTTATAAAAGGCAAAAAAAAAAAAAAAAAAAAAAAAAAAAAAAAGGGTGGCAACAAACCTTATTTTTTTCCATTTCTCATCTATACCTAGGGAGCTAGAAAATCAAATAGCATTTTTTACTAGGCATACAATATACTCTTATGGTGCAATAGCTCAATTTAAAATAGCAGTTTTTGTGGTAAGTTTCTGAGAAAAAGAAAAATAAAACAGCTAAATTCATTGATTTTAATAAAAAATCTAACCCTACATGTTCTATTGCTGCTCAAGTCACATATTTAATATTTACCCTTTCAGATTTCCAGCCATTCAGTTTAGACTGACTTGATCTTTTACAGATTGAATAAAGAATGAACAGCATAAAATTTATTTGTGATTATTAAATAATCAGAATGACTAATGTTTTAACTAATAACTCTCATTAGAGTCTAACACATTGCCCAAGCTAATGTTATCTTTTAAGCCATCTGCTGAGGAATAAAACACCCTGCTTAGCAGACGGTGACATGGATACCTACAGATTTAAAACAGCTCAATTTAATTAGAGCTTAATTTACAATAACAAACAGTCTAAAACATCTGATGTGTTTTATGAATGATTGATGGAAAATTCTAGTAGCAGTTTTTCATCTAGTAGAAAAGCAGTGTGTGAGATTAGCTGGAATAAACTCAACATTCATAAAACCAAACTCAAGTTAAATTTAAATAAGAATTTAGTTAAGAAGAATAGTTTGCTGTCTTCTAGGTTTTGTTTTCTGTTATTAACTGCATTTTACTAAATAAGAACATTAATATATTGCCGTCGGTGAAATTAATATGAGTTACCTGGTAATAACTATTTGAAATCTAAGAAGTCTGACTTTACCTTGTCGGGCCTAAAATTTGAAGCACAGCACTTACCTGATCATAACTTACATTTTACTTTCTCCATTGTTACATAGTAACATACAATTGTAATCATCATTACTTTTAAATTATATACTTAATTTTTGGGTTTATTAGCAAGGAAAGTTTTTATTGCTACCTAGTAATATAGTGTAACTTGCTATGGTATTACCATGTTATTAAATGGATTATAATGTACTTAAAAAAAAAAAGTGTTACCAAAAAAGTAATACTAAATGATAATATAGTAAAATAAAATACTTATCGTGAATTTTTGTTAAATGAAGAATTTTAAAAAACAAATTGTCCCAGACAAGTTAAAGTGCCTTGCTCATGAACAGTTAACCGGCGTTTCTGTCAACAGGTGCAGAAGTCTGACTAAACATTTCCTGAACCTTACAGAAAACACTTGATTTCAATGATTGCTTCAAAGCGTTGCTCAACAACATTTTAGTTCTTTTATTTATTATGTATACACATATGTTTATATTTGGGCTGAAACTACTAACCTTGATTAATAGATTATTGAAATGATCGTCCACTAATTTAGTAATTCAGAGCGACCCACTTACACAATTGTAAAAAAATCTTTGAACATTTTGCATTTAAGATAAATAAAAAAAACTGTTTTTAACATGTAAATACGCTCTACCATGAAATCCTCAAGTGGAAAAATGGTTTAACTTCGTATAAAATCTTCATTAAGGTATGTTTGGCTATGCGATTATTAATCGATTAATCGAAAAAATAATCAACTAATTAATTATTAAAGCAAAATAATTGTTAGTTACACCCCTAATGTATATATATATATATATATTGAAAATCAATGTCATGGTTTTAATTTATTTATTTACTTTTGTCTTTTTTTGATTCATTTTTCTGGCCACTGATTTTTTTCTGTCTTTTAAACGAAGGGTACGTAAACTTTCAAGCACAACTGTAAATACACCTCAAGTGAAATATGGCACCAAAGCAATTGGCAAAGTCTAATACAGGAATTTTCATATAAACTATAGACTCAATACATGTTTTAAAAATGTATGCTTTTATATATAATACACACTAACCCATACCCAGCCCAAGTTGAACCCCAGAAACAGCTTCTAGTCGACTTCTATACTGCAGCATTCATTACCCCTCACATATAGTGCAACAGTTTCACATCTTTGATAAAAAACCAATTGCACAAAATTGCTAAAAAAGCATTTTTCATAGACTTTCATACCTGAGCTGACTTTAAATGTCTCTACAGCCAGCTCCAGATGTGGCACCAATTCACTGTAAACGAGTAAAATGATCTAGACTTTTAATCGCCTCTGTTCTGAGCTGTGGTGTATATTGAAACAATGAACCATGTCTGCCTATAAGGATCAATGCACTTTATCCAAAGAAATATCCCTGCAGTGCATGTATGCAGACATTATTACAGAGGCAAGCTCCGTTAAGGTTTGGCCAAAACAGGCAGTGGTAAAATTACATTCAATAAAGAGTGAACTGAGGAAAAAAAAAAAAAAAAAGCTGAGAAGTACATGACTGCAGAAAAATTGACTGCTCCACATGGCATCACAATCAAAATTGAATGGCAATGCAGCTTTAACCCAGAGTGTACTGCATTTGTTTGAATGGTGAAAAGGCAACCGGAGGAAAGTGTTCAGCTGACCACCAGGCACGGGGGGGGGGGGGGGGGGGGGGGGGGGGGGGGGGGGGGGGGGGGGGGGGGGGGGCTTTAGCGGTTCTCAGCATCCATTTTTTTCCCCTTTTTTCGGCCCCTCATTTCCTTTCCTTTAACAAAGCAAGTGCACCCTAAATAAAAAATCCTACACTGTGATCAGAATGGTGGCTTTCAATCATCGTGCAAAAAAAAAAAAAAAAAAATTGTGATTTTTTTTTTTTTTAACCATCATGACAGCAGTAGCGAGAAACTAATTCCTCACGAAGACATTAAAACAGATTCTGATTATCCTGGAACATATGTACAGTAAATTGAAAAATCTTTTGAAAAAACAGGAAACTTCAACATTCTTTTGCGAACATTGCTTCTGTATAAAGACTCCTATGACATTCAGAGTGAGTCTTCTCTTTAATTACTAACAACACTGGATTTTTGAAGTATGAATGTGAAGTATTAAACAGTGGCTTTCATTAAAGTAGATCACCACCTATACAACTGTAAAACTGTTGTTTTTTTTTTTTGTTTTTTTTTTTTTACATGACTGAAATACATCAAGTTATCAAAAACTGACTTTCTATCTAAAACATGGATTTGTTGCTACTCTAGTCAGCTCCACAGCTAACGTGGCTCAGCTAAAGCAGGGTTGTTTTTTTTTTACTTTTGTTTTTTTGTTCCCATCTCCAGTCTGTGGTCAAGTTAACTATTATTAAAGAAGACAATTTTAAACAACCTCCATGTTGATCCCTCCCTGGAGGGCTATGGCTTATGCTCTTACTGGGGCCAATTTGAAACGGGTAAGCTTCAGCCTTCTTGTCTGCTGTGCCTTTATTGCAACTCTCCCTTGGTCAGCCAGAAAAAGCCAGTGTATGCGTTTTTATATTCAGGCTCAGAGGGTTTGATATTTCAGATGTCACAGTCGACGGTGCTGAAGCCCGGAAGAGTAGCACGTCCCTTTTTTTGGAGGTCTCTCTCGGGCCCTGTGTTGATACGCTGGATCAGGATCTTCTCATAGAGGAGGGGGTGGTAGGCCCCCAGCGTGCAGGCGGCATCATAATATCGCTCGTGGTAGTGGCACAGGTCGGACTGCCTCATGGAGGGAATGTACTCGTACACGTGCACCTGCTCGCACAGCGACATCATCAGGAGAATGCCTGCAATGTTAACAGAAAAAAAGAGCACCGTTTAGTTTTGAAATTTATACCTTGTGGAGATTTTTCCTCACAGGGTTTCTGTCAAAACCCTTTTTTTTTTTTTTTTTTTTTTTTTTTTTTAAGGTTATCATTTGATTTTATTTTTAATGGACCCAGGTTGGTTGGAATGAAAAGTAAGTCCTAAACCTAAAGGCTGTGCTTCCTTTGGCAGCAACAAGTGTTTGCACTCACGCTCAACAGCTTTTATATAGCTGCAGAGAAATCTGGTAACACTTGTCTGCACAATTGTTTTTACTCTGCCCACATTGCAGGGTTTCTAGCCAGAAACCCAACAGGAAGAAAAAATTGAAGATCATTTTGTAACATTCCTGTAGAATTTTATTTTTGACTTAAACTGGGCCACTCCTAGACCTCAACCTTTCTTTTTTTTTTGTATATTTTTTCCTTTTTTTTTATATTATTTCCTAATTATTGAAAATGTCATCTAATTTAGATTCAACATTATTTTCACAGTGTCTGGTTTATTGGGTCAGTTTTTCTCTTTTTACTAGGTAAAAAGATGGAAGAATAATTTTTAGTGTTAAGTCAGGTCTTGCTTAACTGTTAAAATAAATTTTTTGATCCAAAATAATTAAGTCCGACAACATAGGAAAAAAATTAAAGCTAGGAGGTGGCAAATTGTTTTTATTTTCCAGATATTTAAGAGTGAATAAAAAAAATAAATAAATAAAAGAACTGCACCACTGGTGGGAATATGCTACAGAAACCTAATATTAAAAATAAGGACCAGAGAGCTACATTGCATTAATGAGCTTCTTTCCCAAGGGTATCAAGTTAAACCATCATCCACACCTGGAAGCTGCCAGGTATGAGCAAAGCTAAACTTCTGAGCAGCCTGAAATATCATATCTCAGAGCTCAGATCTGATGCATCATTGAAAAAACGTTAATCTTTTAAGATTCAAAAGCCTATTGTGTCAAAATCTGTTTTCGAGAAAACATACACTTCTGTTGTGCTAAAAAAGACAGGGTTGTCTTTCTTAAAAAAAGAAAAAAATAGGTAAATGAAAACAAGGAAGGCTGCAGGAGTTTGCCACCTCCTGTGCCCTGTAGGATATAATGTTGCTGTGATGTGAAACAAAACCAAGCGCTTTGAGCACAGATCTCTAGTGTTATTAAGCCATCCCTCATCTTTCTGCACCATCCTGCTGATTTCTGTTTGTCAATCATTCCCAGAGTTTGTTGGTATTATAGCTCTAAATGTCTTCATGTCGCTCCCCACCATCTGCTATTCTCTCCCATATTAACATTTTTAGGAAACTACTCTAAGGGGAGTAGGGCAAACAGTCTTCTTGAGTAGGTAACTTTTTTAAATAATCATTCCTTGCTGCAAAAGCCTTACATTACAAAAACAGGAGGGGGAAATGTACAGTATGTAATAAATATGACATTTTCTCCATAAATAAAATTCTACCAAAATAATTTTACAGCAAATATCAGATGGAAAGTTACACATATGTCAAGTGGAGAGAGACAGGAAATGCTTTACATGTTTACATAAATGTATTTAAAAGTAGGGGTGGGCATTTATCATATTATTGTGATTTATGTCCAGATACATTTTTAAATTCATCTTAACAATGATTAAATTCAACAATCTGTTTAATATCAAGTCAAATTAAACTGATACTAAAGTATATGATATCAATACCTTTAGTGATAAGAATCCCAGCTTTTTAAATTGATGTCATGAAGGAGCATATTATTAAAAAATGGGTTTTATGGGTTTCTGCGGCTATTAATGTCATGACATGGAGTCACAGCCAAACAGTTACCTAAAAAAAGATGGTAAAGATGTACGAGTTGTTTTTCAGAATCGCTTATCGTTATCACAATGGTACCACAAAAAAAAAATAAGACGCCCAGAATAGATGCATTTATAGCCTGACAGTTTTTTTCTGGGGACACTTTTCTCTTTAGAATATTTTTTTTTTTTATCCACAGATTTTCCATCTTGCTTATTTATGAAGAGGTAGAACATAAATAGATTTATTTATTAAGGCAGGATAACAGCAAAAAAACATGCATTTTAAATAATTGACAGGCTTCAGTCCAGTTTTTACAGTTCTACATCTTTTCCATCATAGTATTTTTTTTTTTACTCATTGTTATTTAATGGTGAAACTATTAATCGTGATTAATTGATTATTCAAATTGTTGTCAATTAGTTTAGTAATCGATTTAGCTGAAATAGCAACCCACTTAGAGCAATAATTATAACATACAAAAAAGATAGATAAACATTTTAAATTTAAGATAAAAAACCTGCAGTATTTTTCCATCAATATGCTCTATCAGGAATTTTTCAATTTGCATAGTTTTAACTTAATCTGGTTTAAATTCTGTATAAAATCTTTTATTATCAAATTATTAATTAAATTAATGGAAAAAAATAAAAGAAGACTCAACCACATAATTGTTATTTGCAGCCCTTTTCTCGTCGTCATTCCACTCTATAACATGAACCTTTATAAAATAGCTTTTGTGTTTGCAGTTTCTTGTGTCATTGTATTTACATTAGGTGGGAATTTCATGTAATACACCCCTTAGGAATAGATTTACAGAGAAAGGAATTGATTTTGACGTTGCTTTTTCATCTTTGAACTGCTTCATTAGGAAGGAAGGAAGGAAGGAAGGAAGGAAGGAAGGAAGGAAGGAAGGAAGGAAGGAAGGAAGGAAGGAAGGAAGGAAGGAAGGAAGGAAGGAAGGAAGGAAGGAAGCAGACAGACACAACTGTGTCCAATCTTAGGAAGAAGGGAGTTTTAATGAGTTTTTTCTCTCTCAGTTCTACAGGTGTTTCCTGATTCTGTTCCACTGCACTCACTGGTCGGCGGAAAATGGTAACACTTCAATGCCCTCCAAGACTACAGTAATCCCTTTGAATCGAAGAGTGTACAGCAACACCGTGGCACAGATCTCTACAGATGCTCTTAACTAGTGTTTCTCCAAGGATTTCTCCTTTCCTCAACATCATGACCGTGGCCTGACAGTCCCCATCAGCAACTTTCCTAAACTATTCCTGTTAATATGCCATCATGACGGCTTCCACAATTCCAAAATAAGACTTTCTGAGGAATTTCAGAGGTCGAATACATGGATTTTCTTCCTCTCTGCTCTGAGACGATGCTTGGTGATATTTTTTTTTTTTTTCCTGGCACACCGTCAGCCTTGTGCTTTATCCTAAACGTGTTGCACTGATTGAGGTCATGGCTTTGTGTGTGCAGCTTTGATTTTCTTCCATGGAAAATTGATCAAAGCCACCCATTTTCATGCTAATACAGAAAACAACATTCGGCTGATGTCTTTGGCAACTGGTGGAACCAAGACAAGTGGGCAATAACATGCAACATACGTCCCATCAACAGTTTGTTTTTCTGTGGATAAAAAAAAGAAAAAAAAAACACAAAACATGATAGCTGTTTACTGAGCTTTCTTTTTAAAGTGTGGTTCCTTGTTTTCATTTCTCATCCCACCTTATTTACTCCTCTCTTATCGAAGATTTTCCATTATTCAAATGAACTTTTTCCATTTTTCTGAAGGTGCAGATGGAGTAAACAAAATCAAATCCCATCTATGTTGGATGCAATGTTCACTTTGACTCAATCCCCCTTTAATTTACACATCATTTTCTACCTATGCGTTACCATTTCTCTCCAACCTGCTTTTCATACCAGTTAGCAAAATGTTTCCAACCCATGTAGGCTCTATGTGTGTATCGGAGCATAAATTGCATTTTTCACATAATTTCAATTTAAGAAAATAAAATATTAAATTGCAGACGCACTTAATTTTGGTCACGTTATATTTAACATGACTTAGAGAAAAAAAATGTTCTCATCTCACTCCAGCTCTTTTTAGGTAGTGGTGATGGTGGTTTAAGTGGGTTTCATACCCCAAAAAGGAAAGAGAAACAAACAGTGAACATGCAGGTGTGTGCATGCAAGCAGAAGTAAGCGCCTTTCCAAACAAAAGGTTAAAGTCTTGAAACAATGGGTGCTTAAAAAGCAAGCTTTCAAGGCAAGGAAAAAAAACAACTAAACCCTGGAGTGAAACATCTACGGGTTTGTGCTTAGTGCAAAGGAAAATTGAAATAAAATTGTAATCGCAATGTTGAAAATAATCGCAATTTAATCCACTCCTAATAATTAAAAGATATTTGAAAAGGACATAACTTAAGCTGTAGTTGAAAATGTTTTTAACGTTTAGTTTAAAGCTTTATAGCACAACCAGCGGGACCAGGTATATGACATTTGTTTTTGATAAACACAAGCTCTTGTCAATGGCCACCTCTGCAAGTTGGAACTAGGATGTTTTTTAATGAGGACAGAGAGAATGAAGCCTGAAAGGAAGCAGTTTCAAGAAGACTTAAGATTATAAAAGTCAATTAATTCAGTAGTATACAAAGATATATTTACAGGTTGTTTTTTCTGTCATATGATCAAATACATTTTAAACATCACATGAGCAGAGTTATAGCGTCTTTAAATTATTGTTTTATTTTTTTAAGAAAAAGAAAATCATAGAAATCATAGGTATCAGCCTTGATAGGTGATAGATGTAAATGACGGCATTCAGTATTTATGACTGTCACATTTTTCAAAATTTCAAACTGCTATAAAAGTCAACATGTTTACTTTGCAAGTTTTGCAAACACAAAATGAGACACTAACAAAAATACACAAAGAAAAATCTGCAAGCACAGAAAATAAGAAAGCAGGAAGGTGGAAATATGATACAAACACAAAAGCAGTTGAAAATACATAGATTAAAATACACAAACCACATAAGGAAAAAAAAATTGTCAAGTAGCAAAAACAACTGTGACTTTTCTGATCAGTTCTAACATAAAGGAACACCTGGAGTTACCTGAACTTCAAAGCTCTCGATTAGTTGCTGTAATCATTTAAACATGAAATTCTCCTTTGTAGAAAATGTCAAGCCATCAATTTTTGATTTTAGGATGAAACACATTTGAGTGATGCTGCAGAACAATGATCCAATTTTTTTAAATCGGGATCACAATGCAGAATTTCAAGTTTTCTTCCATTAAGAAAGTAGGCTGCAAACCTTTTGAAGCTTCAAAGAAATTAATAACTGAAGATAGCACAAAAATATCGAGAGTTATTGGTAAAGAAGCTCAAACTCTTTTACAATAGCAAGTACAACAAAAGGAAAAACGGGCTCCAGGACACCCCCTTGAGGTACACCGTAGCAAACTGGAAAAGTATTGAACCTGTTATTTGAAATGTTATAAAAAGATTCATGTGAATTAATTTATGTTGCTTACTTAAGAGAATGAAACGGGATTCATGACGGAGAGTGAAATATTGCGAGTCTATTTTTTTGGGCAATTATGCAAATATGTTGCTGTTCACAAAGTGCTGTCCGAGTATACTCAATGAATTTGGGGTGGAAGTTAAAGGTGCTCCCTCTACAGGGATAACTGCATCATTGAGAGGGTTGTCAAATAAAATATAAGGATTTGCTGGAATCGACTCTGCACCAGATCACTCAGCTCTTCTGGTGCAGTCTACAGTCTAAGAATCATAACAAAACATGGAGAGGCAGCATTCAGCTGTTATGCTACACTCATTTGGAACAAAATACCAAAGCTATTCAATAACTTAAATGCTGAATTATTCTAAATTAGGTTTTAAGACCAATTTGCTTAGACTTTCATTTGACTGATCTATTCAACCTTTTAACCAAATAATTATTTAGGTCTGTCATACCGTTTTTCTTGACATTTCTTTCTTATTTCGCTGCAATGTATTGTATGAACTTTCTTATATTCTTGTCATGTAAAAAAAAAACAAACCCTGAAATGTTGCTTGTTGCTGAATTACGGTGTATGAAAAACTTCCACATCAAGAGCCAATAAAAACCAACAAATCCTACATGTATTTCTCCGTTTAATCAGTATTCTCATCCTACTATTCCATCTTTCACTGAGCTCTTAAACATAACCCATCTCTCTTGTCATCTGTGTACACATTGCAAAGCTGTTTAAGTGCTGTAGAGTAATATTAAATAGCCTTTGTTTATTTAACCTTTATTATTAGGGGTGTGAAATGGCAAGAATTTGGGAGTATGTACATATACTGATACGATTTAATCCAATGCATCCCAATATATTAACAAAGACTATAGATTATATACATGATAGATTTTTATAATAATACAACTCTAGAAAATCTCACGAAATCTTGCTTTTCCTCTGCTACAGCTGCCAACTGGCTGCTGGAGGTTTAAGAGTTATAACAAGGTAAGAAAATTACACGGATGTTTTTCTATAAATACTTTTTACATTTAAGATCAAATTTGGCTGTATTTTGAATCAATACAAATATTGGCAAATGAATATCTCAATATTTAAAAAAAATCTATATTTTTAAGCTAGTGGACTTGAAAGTATTTTACACTACATTCAGTCACTCATCCATTCTTTCACTTACTGAGGGTGGTGAGCTAGAATGTAGCCATAGCTGCCCTGGGGCTCGCCAAATAAGGCAAAGCTGCTTGTTACGTGCCTGCCAGGCTGTTTGTTTCTCCTTCCCCTCCCCCTTTTTGTTTGTCTTCACAGGTAGTGTGGAAGTAATGAAAGCTGGCATCAATCTCCCCTGATTGGGCCATGGTTGACGAGGACCAATCAACATCTAGGGAGGCTGTATTTAAGAAGCCCAGCTGGGGAGCTGGGGTCTCTCTAGGGCTCTCGGCCTCTCTCTCCAACTGGCTCTGTTAAGCTGACACACGTCTTGTTTGTTTGAAGGTTTGTGGTGGGAGATTAGTGGGCGAGGTAAGTTTGGGGTACCCTGTACATTTCATCACGCAGGTGTTTTATGTTAGACACACTAGGTAAGCAGGTGGGTGCCACCCATGTAAAGTTTTGTTGGACTCCTTTGTTAGATTAGATAGGCAGGGTTTTTGTTTTCTATTTCTTTTCTGTAGAATAGATGGTAGTTAGGCCCTGTTTTGTTTTATTATTTTCTTTGATTTGGCGCCACCTAACCGTCCCTTTCTCCCCCACAGTGTGTACAAGCCTTCTGGGATTTTTGTTGTTAATAAATCCCTATGTCTTTTAAAACATTCACCTGGACTCTGTCAATTTTTGTGGTTGTCGCGTTACTCCCCTCCTCCTTACAAAAGGGGGGGCGGTAACAAGTGGGGGCTTGTCCGGGATAATTTTCCCTGAGCTGTAGACATCCACATTAATTTGAGAGATCCTTGTGTCTGTTCAGAAATGAGCTTCAGCTTAGAGGAGTTCGTACAGGCTCCTAGCCACGAACAGCTGGAACTGTGTCGTAAGGACGACTTGTTATGTTTGGCTGAGCATTTTGACATTTCAGTGAAAAAACATTTTTCAAAAGCTGAAATCAAAAACATTGTTGTTCAAAAACTGATTGAAATTAAAGTCCTAGCGGACTCGAGTAAAATGGATATAGATGTTTGTGATCATCCTTCTGTTGATCTAGGACTCCCTTCGTCAAAAGATGAAGGAGCTGCTGTAATGGCAACTCCCCCAAAGGGGTTGGCAGAGCCACAGGCGGCCCCTGCGACTTTACCACGGTTCAATCCGGTGTCACCAGAGCTCAGTGGCTCCAGTGGTAGTGTCAAACTCAAGGTTCGGCTGGCTCGCCTACAGCTGGAGGCACAGGAGAGGGAGTTGGTAAGAAAAGCTGAGTTTGATTTCAAACTTGAAATGCGCAGGTTGGAACTTGAAGCCGAAAAGGAGATTAAGCCAAAACAGCTGGAGGTAGAAGCTATGAGGCTTTCACGTAGCAACGCACCTCCTCGTTCATCTGTGTACTCTGATTCTCCACAGGTGGTGTCAGACAAAAACAAGTTTGATGTCAGCAAGAATATTGCTTTGGTACCTGTGTTTAGAGAGTCAGAAGTGGACTCGTACTTCAATGCATTTGAGAGGATTGCTATAGCACTAGAGTGGCCAAAGGAGATGTGGGCCGTGCTGTTGCAGTGTAAGCTCATAGGTAAAGCACAGGAGGTTGTTTCATCGCTGTCAACAGAGGATGGCATGGACTATGATGTACTGAAAAAGTCAGTCTTGCGTGCTTATGAACTTGTACCTGAAGCTTACAGGCAAAAATTCAGGAACCACAAGAGGTCTGATGGCCAGACCTATGTGGAGTTTGCACGTGAGAAGGGACTACTTTTTGATAAATGGTGTGCTGCCAGTGAGGTTAAAGGTAACTTTGAATCCCTTCGCCAACTAATTTTGTTGGAAGACTTCAAGAACACATTGCCTGAGAGACTAGTAGTTTTCTTGAATGAGCAGAAGGTGGCCTCTTTGTCTAAAGCAGCAATTGTCGCTGATGAGTTTATGTTGACCCACAAGAATGTATTTGTGTCTGTACCTCGTGCAGATAAAGTTTTGAACATTCGTCAACAAAAACCTGACCCCACTCAGTCAGAAGCTAAGGCCAAGCAAACACCTGTTTCTCCACGTGAGGTAAGGGAGTGCTTTTACTGTCATAAAAAAGGCCATGTTATTGCTGACTGTCTGTCGTTAAAGAGCAAGGCAGACAAAAGGTGTTGGGTTGCTTAAAAATGTGTTGCACTCCAGCAATCAGACTGTTAAAAATGAGAATGAACTAGATCCCTGTTTCATACCCTTTGTTACCCAGGGTCTTGTTTCTTTAACAGGGGATCCAAAAGATGGCCGACAAGTCAAAATACTGAGGGACACAGGCGGTTCCCAAACAATCATTCGGGAGGGTATTTTGTCTTTGCCTGTCGGGTCATCTTGTCAGTCCAAAGTGGTTGTCCAAGGTATTGGAATGACTTTTGTATCAGCACCACTGCATAATATCCACCTTAACTCATCTCTTGTGAGTGGTTTTTGCAGGGTTGCTGTTCTTCCCACCTTGCCCATAAGGGGGATTGATCTCATTCTGGGGAATGACTTGGCTGGTGGAAAGGTATTGCCTGTCCCTGAGGTGTTGGACACACCTGACGTAAGCGTGACTTTTGAACCAAAGTCTGACATTTTCCCTGCTTGTGTGGTTACGCGGGCCCAGGCGAAGAAATACAGTCTTGATTTGTCTGACTCTTTTC